GCCTGGTCTTTCCGGGCTGGTTGAACTGGCTTGGCTGCTCCTTCCAGGTGAAGCTCCCAGCTGCTCGTCTGTTTCGGGTTCGTCGTCTACCGGTGAGTATGGCTGGTTTATTTTGGCTTTGGGGTGTTCGGTTTGCATTTTAGGATTTTCTTCCCTACTTTGTTTTTTGTTTGAGGTTTCTCCCTCCCCTCTAGTTTCCTTATTAGTGGTTGTTTGCGGTATTTGTGTGTTGTCGGTGTCGTCGGTGGCTGTTCTTGACCTTAGTTGGTCGATATGCCGCTTCCAGCTTCATCCGTCTATGGTTTGTAGTCGGTAAGACTGGGGGCCCGTTACCTGGGTTATTTTGGCCGGTACCCAGAGTGGGTCCCCTGTGAAGCTTTTGGCATAGACGGCATCTCCTATGTTGAATGTGCGGAGTTTGCTTGACGAGTCTGGGAGTTTCTTGGGGTTGTATGTGGGGTGTAGCCTGTCTAACAGGGATCTTAGTTTTCTGCCCATGAGTAATTCTGCTGGGCTTTTGTTTGTCGTTGTGTTGGGAGTTATGTGTTGTATTAAAAGCATTTTATTTATTTTTTCTTGTATATCCCCGGTTTCGATTTTTTGTATGGTATTTTTTGTGAAACGAACCATGCGTTCCGCCCACCCATTCGCCGCCGGATGAGCGGGTGCTGTTAACGCATGCCATATGCCCCGTTCCGCCAGGAATTTTTCAAAGGCTAGTGCGGTAAATTTTGGGCCGTTGTCTGACACTAGCACGTCTGGTAACCCATGGGTGGTGAATAATTTGTTTAGTTTCTTGATGACTGCCTCTGTGGTTGTGGTTTTATAGTGCTTACCTCCAGCCAGTTGGAGTAAGCATCGACTACAATCAGGAATGTGTGTCCCTTGGTAGGCCTGGCGAAATCTATATGGATCCTAGACCAGGGACCCCTGGGCGTTTCCCATTCCCGGATTGGGGCGGCGGGTGGGCTTGGTCTGGTTTCCTGGCATTGTTTGCATGCGGCTACCCAAGTCTCGATCTGTTTGTCCATTCCTGGCCACCAGGCGTAGCTCCTGGTAGGCACCAGGCACTTGATTGTGTGCCAGGAAACCATGGAGAGGTAGGATCCGGAATCCACCTCCATCTCGCATGGTTGATCCTCAATGCCTACCTCCACGTGCACCTTCTGGGCGTTGATGGTCGAGGAATGGCCGATGATGACAGTCTGATGGGTCTCCTCTCTCCGCCGCGTCTCGCTAAGTCGCTTGTTTCGGCTGTCCCGGCTCCACTGGCTCTTGGCGTGGTGGTCTCTGGTCCTGGGGGGGTGCTGTCTGGGGCTGCCGTCTCGTCGCCGGGGGCTGTGGTTCCTCTTGTTCCGGCCTACCTTGGTGATATGCCCCTGCTTATGACAATGCTGACAAATGGCGTCGAGGAATCGGCATTCTGAGCGGGGGTGGTCACCGCCACAGCCGGCGCACTGGAACCCTGACTTACGACCTCTCCGTTCCTGCCGATCGTGTTCCGCCTGGAGTCGGTGGATCTCCTCCTCCTCGTCCTCGGTTTCGGAGAAGGAGTCGATGTCTCCATGGTGGGTGGTGGTGGTCGTCCTTGGGCTTGCTTCCGGGTGTTTCTCTGGTGCTGGGGTCACTTCTCTGGTTGCTGGCTGGTCCGCCGCATCCGAACCGCTGACTGTTTGGCAGCTTCTGATGCCGTTGCTTCAGCGATGGCCTCGGTGACGGAGATGTCTGCCCTTGCCATCAGCCAGCTCTGTAGGATGGGGTCTCTGAGGCCGAGGACCATGCGGTCTCGTAGAGCCTCATCCTTGTCGGTGAAGCCGCACATGCCTCCGAGGTCCCTCAGCGTGGCCACGAAATCGCTGATGATCTCGCCCTCTTTCTGGTCCCACCGATAGAATTCGTGCCTTCTGATGAGATTGGGCACAGCGGGGGCATAGTGGTGCCGTAGCAATGGTTCGAGGTTGGCCCAGTCCATCTCCTTCATGTCGGCGGGTTTAGCTAGGGCTTTAGCCATTTTGAACACTGCGGGCCCGCAGTGTGTCAGGAACACGGCCCTTTTTTTCTGTCCGTTGGCATCTTTAAGGTTGCTGCTCTCAAGGAACATTAGGAATCGGTCAGTGTATGATTCCCAATCCTCGGCAGCCTGGTTGAATGGTGTGGGTGGCGTGATGCTGCTGGCCATTTTGTTGGTCGTTTTGTGCTGCTTTGCCACGTGCTTGGTTGGTCTCTTTTCTCACGATCCCACCCTTGTCGCCAGTGTTAGATCGGGTAGATCGGTTCCCACAGAGACGCGAGACCAAAAGGGTACATTCAGCTCTTTATTTCCATGTTAAGACCTGTACAAGATCTTGGAGCCGCGGCAGCCCTTCATATAGGGATTGCTCGCAGCTCGGTGGCCAATGACAGCGCTTTGAATCTCCCGCGATCGGCTCGGCCAATCGCGGTTTATTCTTAGCGTGCCAATCACGGCCGTTCAGTCGACCAATCGGGTCGTGGTCCGTGTGGACCAATCAGTATTCCGTATTTGGAGTATGCTGATACAGAACATGCATAAGCACACAATTGTGCCTAACGTCCCTGTCCTATTGTCCCCATTTATTCATACCTATTTCCTATATTCATACTCATGTTTATTCTTATACCTATTATCTTGTAAGCATTGACAAATCAAATAAATAAATAAAATAAATAAATGTGTTTGAGTTAGTGTGGTTTCTTGATTTGGGCATTTTTTACTTCATAATTATTGGTCCAGTGTTAATCTTGGTGTTGACTGCTGGTGATGTGGTGTTTTGATCTTTTTGTTTCCCTTTTGGCTTTTTTTATTGTATCTTTTGAATAGTATATAGATCTTGTTTATCTCTACATGCCTGTTAATGGCTGATTTGTCTGAGTGCCAGGCTTCCAGGAATTCTCTAACTAACATTTGGACTTGGCTTGGTCTAGGATGCTCACAGTTTCCCAGTTGAAACTATGATTGTCTCTGTCCATGTGTTGTGAAATTAAGGAGTTTTCATTGTGTCTTCTAACTGCTAGTTGGTGTTCATGGATGTGGTTTGTTAGTTTTCTGCTGTTTGTCTTATGTAGTGACTGTTGCACTGTAAGTTGTAGATCAGGGGCTATGGCCCACTACAGGACCACAGCCTGTTCAAAACCAGGCTGCACAAGCGAAGTTCCACTCATGCGAGCAGTGGGACCTTGCACTTCTGCGTGAAGCTCCACTTGCATGATCACAAGGCTCTTGAGTGGAGGGCACTTGTGCTTTTATGGGATGCTTCACTTGTATGAGTGGAGGGCACTCACACACGAAGCTCCATTCGCACATGAGCACAAGCGCTCTCCACTCAAGCACCCTCTGCTCATGCATGAAGGTCAATTCACATGAGTAGAGAGTGTGTGCATCCATCGCTCACACCAATGGAGCTGTGCATGCACCTGTGTGCCTGCCACTCACACACACACCCTGTGCTGGGACGGGCCTCCAAGGTGGAAAGGTTGGGAATTGCTATTGTACATGACTCCTGTTTTTTTTCTTGTGGGGCTACTGGGTCTTTTAGGATGTTTACTGGGCCTTTTAGGATGTTTTGGTGGGCTTTCGTTGGTTTGTGTGCCATGATGATGCCATATGCCTTTTAGTGGTTTCTGAGATGTTTTTTGTTGTATAACAGTGTTATCCTTTTCACAACTTGTGTTGGTTGTATATATTGAGAGGCCGGGCACTTTTTGGTAAATCTGAGTGAATATACATTTTGTTAGAAGATGTGTAGATGACCTGTCTCCTTATTCTGGAGTTGAGGGTTGCTGCAGTGTGTTTGGGTTCACCTAAATAGTGTTCTTATTGAGCTTCTCTTATGGGAAGTTGGATGTTGTTATCTAGTTTGGTAATGAAAAGTTTGCAAGAAAACAACCAAGCTCAGAGAAAACAACCAAGTTCAGAGAGCACCAAGGATCCCACATATATTTAATGTGACTCCTATCAGACCATGCATGCAGGTAGTAGATATGTATACTCTATCCTTCCATTTAACCAACTTTGTCTGCCTACTAATGTCCATCATAGATTCTTTCCACAGGAGACTATAGTTGAGCACATGGAGATATCATTTGTGCATACCATCAAGACAAGGCTAGCTCACATTATTAATGGACCCATACAGATTGTCTTATCTAGGAAAAGCAGCTAAATTGTAAGCTGTGCAAATGTGGAATTATTTTTTTACAGTAATCATTTTTTTCAACCTTTGACATTCGAAGTCAATGGGGAATCTAGATTCACTTTAGAAACTTGTTACTAATTTAAAAACTGGGTTGATTCTCTTAAGAACTGTGTCAAGGAAGGTTGGGGCAAAACTCAACAAATGTCTCACTTAACAAAATAAATTTTGGGCTCAGTTGTAATTGTAAGTTGAGGACTAACTGTATTGGAGACATTGTGTACTTATTGAAAGCTTTCCTTCATACCACATTGTATTAAGGGGGAAAATACAAGGTACAATTGCTCTTTAGAACAGTCTTACCCCCTGAAGTAAGATTGGCTCCTGACCTTCTGACCTTCCATAAGGACCTGAAGACCTGGCCCTTCCAGATGGCTTGGGGCCCCAATGGAGGAATGGTTGATGAATTAAGAAGCAGTTTCACCACTCTCCCTGTGCATCCTGTCAGTTTTTAACCATAATTTTACCTTTCATTGTAATTCCATTTTTATCATTTTAGAATAATTTATATTCTATGGTTTTAATGTTTTTAATGCCTTATGCCACCTGATGGCATAAGATGTTTGGCAAATAAATCTAATAAGTAAATAAATATAGGCAGTCATTGCAGAGTGGACTTACAGTTTTATTCACTTGATTCTACTACATGATAATATCTCAGTACATTTGTTGATTCATTAATCCCTCTTTTCTCCCACATTATCTCAAAGTATATTTGTAAGGAAAAACTTGAAGAATAGATATAGATCATAGTTTGATTGTGTATTTGTGTATGTTTTTCCTCCTTAGGTTCTCTCAGTCAAGAATTAACAGTTGTAGTCCAAGCAGGAGATGAAGCCAGGCTTCCTTGCCGTTACCAAATCACTAGTGGCACACTAAAATCTTACTACATCTACTGGCAAAAGTATAACTTTGATAAACAAGATCTGGTTGTGATTTCATATAAGAACGGTGAAGAAGTTGAATTGGAAAAGGACAAATCTTACAAGAACAGATCAAAGTTAGAAGAGCAGAATCTTACACTTTCAATCGCCTCAGTCACAGTAAATGATAGTGGACTATATAAATGTTTTGCCATATTGGAAACTCGCCTAAAAGGGGAAACATCTACCCGTTTATCTGTGATAGGTAAGTGTTAATCTACTGACACAACTTCTTTAATTTCCCCCTCTCTCTTTCTCTCTCTCTCTGTATAATTTTATTGAAGAGTTTTTAAAAAGAAGATAAAACTAATACAAACTAATATAAGAAAACTAGGAAACAGAAAAAAATCAGCTAAATACAAGAGAGACAGAAAAGTGTAAGAATAATAGTAATGAAATTTTTAAAAAGACAAAAAAAACTTTCTGACTTCTTTACAGCAGTTATTAGACTGATGTTACAACATATCTATCTTCTTTCTATCATCTATCCTATCTGATTATTTAAACCACAAATCATAACATAATTTATGTAAAAAAATACATTAGGGGTTTCCAGGTAGCAATAAATTTTTATCTGATCCAAGAAGTTAGTTTAGCTCAACAAGTTCCATTATTTTCACCAACCATTCCTCCATTGTGGGTAATGCCAAATCTTTCCATCTCTGTGACACAATAATCTCACTACAATTATCATAAAGAAAGATATCAGATCTGACTGTTCATCAGATTCAATTGTTTGTCCCTCAGTTCCCCCACACTGCAAAAAAAATCTTTGCTCTCAATTTATTTTAATTTTTAAAATTCTTTATGTGTTTTTGAATCCAATATTTTATAGCTTTTTATATGTCCACCAAACATTATAAAATGTTCCTTCTTGTTCATATTTCCAACATAAATTTGAAATGCCTTTATAAATTCTAGACAAGTTTTCAGACAACATATACAAACAGCACATTTTATAAAAATTCTTTTTAAAACATAGCATAGATTTCAATCCTTTCAACTATATATTTTCCTATTGATCCATCTGTATATTATAAAGCCAATTTAGCTCACTTTATCATACATTCTTTTACTTGTTCTTCTGTTTCATATTAGAACAGAACTTTTTACATTTTACCAATTACACATTTATCAGTTGTGTATACAATTTTACTAAAACTCAGTGAATTTACCTAAATTCTTTTTAATAAATTCTTTTAATTTCTTTTATCACTTTTTCTTCCTTTTGTAGGAACCTTTTATTTAGCTTCCCTCTAAAAGAACTAATTTACTTTCGTAAACTACAAAGTAAAAGTAAAACTAGATTTTATTTTTATAAACTGAACTCACAAGATTATGAATTATGTTTCTTCTTAAAAAGAATGTACTGTGTATCTTTTAGAGAAGTAGGTGTACTTTCTTGAATTGCCATTTTTCTGTCTCCAATCAACCAGCCCCAAACTGAAGCTTTTGGTAATTTGCCATGAGTGATTTTAATATTTTTCCCAGAAGTTCTATATAGTTGTGTGGATGCGAGGAGATAATGCTTATTTGGAAGGGAAATGAAACCAGGAGGGTTTATCAATACTTTAATCTGTTCTACATCAAAAATGTTGACAGCATCAGTCACTGATCTTGTTACTGTTATAGAATAGGGTGCGACAATTGTCCCAAATGTGGCTCTGGTATATCTTTTGGTATACCTCTAGTATACCTGACTCAAAGATTAAGGCAATATTTAGCTAAACTGAACTAAATATTATTTTCTAACTCTGGAATGCGATCCCTGATAGATTTGTCATACAGTAATAGGAATAATCTATGAGAACCCTTGTCAACACTCAGAAAGTTTTAGATACATGCTAATTTCTACTTTTAAAATATTTTTGACAGAATGATAGTCTTTTGATTGAGCTGCTATATATTGATTTTTTTTTCTTCTGCAAAAGCAGTTGGACTCCCAGCCATAGCCATCTGTTCCTAATCATCTTGACAATGAAATGATGAAGTGGGCATTATGACATCACAATGCATGAGACATAGAGTATAGAATCATAACTGTTCATTATATGATTTAGCCTCCAGGCCCTTATCATCTTTGTTGTTGTTCTGTGCATACTTTCTAGAGTCTCAGCATCTTTCTTGCATTGTAGCAACCAAAACTTGACACAGTATTCCAAGTGATTTACAATGTATATACACTAAATTATAAAATATGTATTAGAGACCAGGTAGGCCATTAGTTCTAGTGCCATTGTAGGCACAAAGCTAGTTGGGTAATTGAAACATCATTATAAAATTACAATATTGACACCATTCTTAGCGGTACACACATACATTTTCAGTACATATTTTATATTAATCACCAAGTACTTAATTAAATAAATAAGGTTTCGTTGCTATTCAGTAAAGATTAATAATGAGGATGCTGTCTTATTTTGGGAAAACATTTGCACAGAAGGGGAACTTGGCAGAGTTGTCTGAAATGTTTAAGAGAATTTTCTTAAATTCAGAATAATCAACGACAGGAAATTTAGGGGGAAAGTCTTCATGTGTACAGGTCTGCTTGAACAAATGCCAATATCAAACATTTTTTACATATGAGTCATATTCTGTAATATCTTATTGTCTTTTTTGTGTCTTTCAGTTCCATTTAGTACACCTATCATCCTGAACAATTTGTCCGGTGAACATTGTGACTCAAAAAATTTGACACTGATGTGTTTGTCTCATGGAGGTTCTTCAGAGCCAAAGATGTATGGATCTATCAATGAAAATCCAGTGAATTGGACTGTCACAAGCAATGAAATATTTGGTCATTTTAATATTACTGGCACCTTGCAGTTAAACATGACAGAAAATATATTGATTCAGTGCTCAGTTCATTATTTAGATTTCCAAGTGTCAAGCAATTATAGCTTGAGTAAGTTCCTTTCATTTTATCTAAAGGCAATTTTATTTGATTTTATAATATAATAATTGAGTGAATGACAAAACACAAAGCTATTTGAATTAATAATTAAATTTAAAAATCTTATTTTTGAATGAAAATTGCTACTGTGGTTAGAAAACTCTCATCTATCATCTTACCTATGCCCTTAGATTCTTATGATTATAATATTGTTATATCTCATGATTTATGTTGGTTGCTCCTATTTAGTACCCTAGGATGATTTATGTTGATTGCTTAGTATCCCATGACTGTCACTGAGAGTTGTATCTGACTTATGATAATTTTATTTTATGATTATGATTATCACTTGTTGTTCGTATGTACACTGCACTGGAGACAAATTCCTTGTGTGTGTCCAATCACATTGGGTCAATAAATTCTATTCTATTCTACATCATAGAACTAACGATTTCTTCACTGTGATCCTGGATTTCTCAATATTACATTCAACTTTTATTTCAGATATGACAAAGAACTGTTCTGAACCCACAATGCCACCATTGATTCCACCTTTTGGGATCATAATTTCTTCAGGAGTGATCTTGATTTTCTTTCTAGCAATGGTAATGCTAGTAATACTCCAATGCTACTGTAAGTACTAATACCTCTGTCACTAGCTGAAGCATGGTTATCCTCTCATCTATCATACTATGTATTTCCTTAGATTCTTATGACTATAATTTTGTTGTTATATCTCATGATTTATGTTGATTGCTCCTATTTCATATCCTAGTATGATTTGTGTTGAATATGAAATGATAGAATAATCATAGGGCCACAATAGATTCTGACAAAATGCAATCCTGTAAAATTGTTCCTTCCCCATTTTTTGAAAGCCCATTAGCTTTCAGCAACCTTACCCAGGTACATTATGAGATCCTAAGTGAGAATAATGAAAACTTATCATATTTCACAAGATATTATAATGATCTCATGACATTTGGTGTTTTTGCAAGATTTGGACCTTTCAATTTTAATGAATGTAACTCTAATCAGAGCCTCTGATGCCACAGGTGTCATATTTCTAATTCTTGTGATATGGAGATAAAATATGAAACACACTAACAACTATGTTTTAATAATTGAAAGTATGAAGACTGGTTGTACTCTTTACCTGCATATATTGATTAAATTGCCAATATAGATATCCATAAGATCTACTCTATTAAGAAAGTACACAAAAGTACAGCTCAATTTCAGATGCCTTTAATCAAGGTTGAAGAGTAGAGGTTAGCGTCAGGCTACTTAGACATTCCTGCTTTAACACACATAGAATAGTAAGAATGGTTTGTTTATATTACAGGTGAAACTCGAAAAAATTAGAATATCGTGCAAAAGTTCATTTATTTCAGTAATGCAACTTAAAAGGTGAACTTAATGTGTGAGATAGACTCATTACATGCAAAGCAAGATAGTTCAAGCCATGATTTGTCATAATTGTGATGATTATGGCTTACAGCTCATGAAAACCTCAAATCCACAATCTCAGAAAATTAGAATATTACATGCAATCAATAAAACAAGGATTGTACATAGAACAATATCGGACCTCTGAAAAGTATAAGCATGCATATGTACTCAGTACTTGGTTTGGGCCCCTTTTGCAGCAATTACTGCCTCAATGTAGTGTGGCATGGAAGCTATCAGCCTGTGGCACTGCTGAGGTTTTATGGAAGACCAGGATGCTTCGATAGTGGCCTTCAGCTCTTCTGCATTGTTCGGTCTCATGTCTTTCATTTTTATCTTGGCAATGCCCCATAGATTCTCTATGGGGTTCAGGTCAGGCGAGTTTGCTGGCCAGTCAAGCACAGTAATCCCACGGTCATTGAACCAGGTTTTGATGCTTTCGGCAGTGTGGGCAGGTGCCAAGTCCTGCTGGAAAATGGAGTCAGCATCTCCATACAGCTTGTCTGCGGAAGGAAGCATGAAGTGCTCCAAAATCTCCTGGTAGACAGCTGCATTGACCCTGGACTTAATGAAGCACAATGGACCAACACCAGCAGATGACATGGCTCCCCAAATCAACACAGACTGTGGAAACTTCACACTGGACTTCAAGCATCTTGCAGTGTGTGCCTCTCCATTCTTCCTCCAGACTCTGGGTCCTTGGTTTCCAAATGAGATGCAAAAGTTGCTCTCATCAGAAAAGAGGATTGTGGACCACTGAGCAACAGACTAGTTCTGTTTTTCTTTAGCCCAGGTAAGACGCTTCTGACGTTGTTTGTTGTTCAGGAGCGGCTTGACAAGAGGAATATGACATTTGAAGCCCATGTCCAGGATCTGTCTGTGTGTGGTGGCTCTTGATGCACTGACTCCAGCCTCAATCCACTCCTTGTGAAAGTCCCCAACACTTTTGAATGGCCTTTTCCTGACAATCCTCTCCAGGCTGCGGTCATTCCTGCTGCTGGTGCACCTTTTTCTTCCACCTTTTTCCCTTCCACATAACTTTCTATTAATGTGCTTTGATATAGCACTTTAGGAACATCCAACTTCTTTTGCAATTACCTTGTGAGGCTTTCCCTCCTTATGGAGGGTGTCAGTGATGGTTTTCTGCACAACTGTCAGGTCAGCGGTCTTTCCCATGATTGTACTTCCTACTGAACCAGACTGAGAGACCATTTAAAGGCCCATGAACCCTTTGCAGGTGTTATGGCTTAATTAGCTGATTAGAGTGGGATACTTTGAGCCTAGGATATTGAACCTTTTCACAATATTCTAATTTTCTGAGATTGTGGATTTGGGGTTTTCATGAGCTGTAAGCCATAATCATCTCAATTATGACACATCACGGCTTGAACTATTTTGCTTTGCACGTACTGAGTCTATCTCATATATTAGGTTCACCTTTTAAGTTGCATTACTGAAATAAATGAACTTTTGCACGATATTCTAATTTTTCGAGTTTCACCTGTATAGTGACTGGCCAGTTTTCAGTAGGATATTGTCTAGAAAGCACATTCACATTGGAAACTGAACAGGAGAATTAATCCTTTTCTTGGGATAATAGCATTATCACTAGTTGTAGAGTTATAGTTGATGCCTACATTTTATGCAGCATTTAGTTCTTGAATTTCTATCATTATAGTACGATCTGTTTTTGCAAGGTTGTATGGTAAATTCATTCAGCTATAGATTATTCACATAGGTTTTGTGAAAAGAAGGTTACAGGATCTGGACAGAGGAAATAATTTTTAAATCTCTCATCACAGGGCATTTAAAGCTCAAAAGCAACAGAATATTATTATAATATTTTTCTCTGTTACCCATTATATCTGATGGAGCATGATTTGCGGTTCATCAAAGTTCAGGACATAATAATTATGTGTATGTGAGTTTATGGTACCACAAGTCTATCGTTTTTGCAGAAAATGACTGAGATGTTCCTGGAAATTTCTGCTTCTTCCGATGTATCAAAAAGTAAACAAGTGTTTAAAAATCCCCTCGACTACTAATCTGCAATTTTGAAAATAAAACTTGGCCTTTAAGAATAAAATATTATTTGTTCTTCATGTAGCTGTGGATTTCAGAGAATGTTGGTTTGGAATCTCTATTGGAGGAGTGGTTAAAGAGGGAAATTCTCTTTGAGGTCTGCTTTAGAATACATAATGTAGGCAGGTATTCTTTGTGTTTCGTGGTATTATGCTAAAGCATTTTGTAATATATGGAACCAGATGTAACAAAAGTTTTCTTGTTTTCATCATTTTAATGTGTATAAACAAGAATTGTCAAATATAAACAATGCGTATCTTAGAAAAAACATGTTAACAAAAAATCCACATATAAAAGCAAATTGTTATTATTATTACTTATGATGACTTACTAGATGGTTTGGATCCATATAGATATGAATCTCCTATGAAATCTGCATTTTTGAGATAAATTGACAATGCTTGCAAGTGCTGTCTTTTCCCCCCTAATATTTAGAACACAATGCTTTCAATTCAGAAATAATTCCATGGAACATAGTGACACGTAAAATTGCAGAATTTTTCAGTTGCAGCATTGCACCACTTTAAAAGCTGCCTGGAGAGGCCTGCAGTGCCTATTTTATTGCTTCTCACTTGATGTAAAGAAAATGTTCTCTGTGATAAACCAGCAGACAGCCATGCTTTGATGCCAGTTTGTCGTAGACCAGTATTCATGTGTGGACTCTGTAGTGGATGGTGGGATAAAAAATAACCTAAACAAAATATCTTCCTTTACTTTTGTGCTTAATTTTATTGATAAGGACCTGGGAATAGAAGGTTGATTAGATTCTCTTAGGACAGTGTTAAGAACAGGAAGGCAGAAAAGAGGGTGGCAGGAAATTAAGAAGTCTTACAACTATCAGAATGAAACATTAGGAACAGAGAGGATTCTTGGCAGCCAGCTCAAAGTGTTACCATAGTTAAAATGGATTAAATAGCTCTGGGAGCTGTTGAAGATGGACCATATATTATTGGTTTCCATCCAGAGTAGAATTGATCAGTAATTCTAAAACGATTGTGATCATTTTTCACTAAAATGATCAATTTACACTAATTAAGTTTTATGGGATCCTGGGTGATGCCAGAAGAAAACACACAGGATTTTTAAGGGTACAATCTTGAGACGAAATACGTTGAAGAGGAAAAGCACTATGGAAAATCCAGTTAGATAACCCAAAAATTATTTTGAGTTGGAGAGAACAGAGCATAACAAGATCAAAGCTTTGTCTGCCAGATACTATCCCATCATCTCTGTAGCTTGAGACTAGTTGGTATTATTAAGCTCTTTCCTTAGACCTAGAATGATAAAATAATAGTGCGAGGAATAAGGTCTGTATAGAATGCACATGTATTAAATCCATGTCTAGAAATGCTTTCTTAAAGTGCTTTGATAACACATCTACATCTAGATCGTGATTGCCTCTCATTTTGGAACAGGAAAGCTGTCTATTAAAGAATGTAAGATAATGTTGAAACTGGTAAAACTACTTGCTTATCAGATAAAGCTTTTTATCCAAATGACAGATTTATTTCTTTGTATTTTCCCGAAATAAGAGAAAAATCTGTGATTTAATTTTGTTATTGTTGCACTAGTTCATAAGCGTCCAACGTCCTCCACCACACATCAGTCACTGGCAACAGATGAAATGATACTCGAGCAATCTAGGAGGCAGACACGTTCAAGGCTGGAGAGGTAAGCTTAGTGCTCTGCATTGTCCTCTTAAACAAATGAAAATAGAAGAGTTGGAAGTAGCCATATAAGCTACCAATTTCAATTTTGTGCCTATAAGATCTTCACAGAAGATGCTCCCAGTCTCCATAAACACATTCAGTGGAAAGGGGTCTACCATCACTCTTGGTAACTATTGTCAAACTGCTTTTACAATTTATTTTACTATTCAAATCCCATACCATGCAAGCCAATAGAGTATAATAGTTGAAGTGTAGGAGTAGATATTAACTCAAGTTTGAGGTTATTCTCAGCCAAGGAAATTTGCTGTCTCCCAAATCTACCTCGTAAGGTTGTTGTGGGAAACACTAGAGGCAGGATATTAAACAAATTGATATCCTCACTGTATAATTTAAATCCAGATTTCCATATTAGAGAACATATTTTGAGCATCTTCTTTGGGACATTAACTGCTATCATATATTTTTCACAAAATCTGCATGGTTTTATTTTGGAAATGAATGTTGGATTTGTCTATTAAATATCATTAAATCATTTTCAGCGCATTTATCTAAATTAGCTTATTTCTACTAAGATTATTTTTAAAAATTTGATTTAGCTCTCCCAGCCAATTTTGAATTTGCAGATACAATGTTCTTTTGCTCTTTTCAACTCTCCAGTTATATTTTTATTTTATTGATTTTATATACACGCACATTTATATACATATGCACACACACACACACACACACAGTGTAGCTTTTACCCATGCAAGATAGGAACAGTTTTGTTAAGAATTTTTAATACAAAAATACATGTAGGGTGAATGGGTTACACATCTTTGTTACTGGCTTTTTCAACATTTCCATTTCCAACACAGTAGCAATATTTTAAAATTAACTTAAAAACAATCAGAATGCCACAATGTGCCTAAATGTTTCATTTCCAATAAAAATGGAGCCAAGTAAAAACAAATAAAGAAGTTTTGATCCATTTATCTTTGTTTCCTTCTTCCCAGTTTTGAATTTGTTGATAATTTAGAAGACAGAGATTTATTAAAGTTTTCCACAGTATTATATTCCTTACATTATTCCAGACTTTGAAAGTTAATGGGAACATTCCATACCTATGAAATTTTAAATCACATTAAATGCCAAACCATGTACTTTCTCATGCTATTATATTACATATTCAAAGGGTTTTTTTGCTCTGAAATTGCAACAATCTCCAGATCAATTTTTCATGTATTTTACATTCTTTTTTATATTCTCAGATCTCCACTCTGATTTTGAGTTGCAGTTTCCAGACTTATTTTGGTAAGATATTCTGTTATTCAGCTGGGATGAAGAATTCTCCTAACAGAATGAAATGCTGACTAGAAACCACAAACGTATTTGAAGATTTCCCTTTACATACTTGAAGATGGGTGATAACTTTATGTGGACTTGGAAGCTAACCATGACTGCATCTGAGAAAGTCTTGAATGACAGGTTGTAGACAAAATTATGTGGTAGTCCTGTTTGAAGAAGACAGTTTTCAAGTTTGAAAACAAGATTGGAAAACTGAAAAAAAAAAGTGCACATCACTTTCAAACTGCTGTGAAGAAAACTGAAATGTTTGTTGCGCTAGGGTTTTGTATGTCATTAAGCCTATGGCTTTTTTAAAAAAACTAAAAATGACTTTATGACTCTTTAGTTTTCTGTATGAACTGTTTTTGGTCTTATTTATAAAAGATGGCTTGGAAACTTGGCGTAAATAACAATTGGAGAACAATATAAGCCCAAGAAAAAAATGATAAAAATGTTGTTTGTATTCATATAATCACCAGAGTACAGCATAACTTGGGAAAGATTTTTTTTAAAAAATAATCGTGTACTGTAAAGTAGTGCCCTGAAAAAAATCAACAGTCTAAAATTCATTAATCTTTGTGGACTGATTCTTGCAAAATATGAGTTTAGTGTAATAAAGAGATGTTCTCATATGCCTTAGTCATTCCATGCATTAGCAGAAGAATGCAGGCTATTAATATTGTTCTGAAACTTGGTAATTCCTAGGAATTATAGTATGCCTACTATGTAGGTAAATGTAGCTTTTCAATTTGGAAACTTTTCTTAAATGGAACTTGAACATGAATAACCCTGCTTATTTATAATGGAAAGCTGAACAACATAAGCAATTGTGTAACTTAATTTGGTGCTATAAAATAATCTAGAATTAATACAAGACATGTAAAAATTTTATAGAAGGCAGGGATTATAATTTGGATCAATTAAAAATGAAAACAATGAATTTTATTGGATTTCATTTTAAAGAGCAATTATAATATTCGGTTAGTACAGGGGTATCAAACTCATGTCGTCACAGCAGCGTCACGTGATGTATCAGGACTTTTTACCGCTTCACTAAACCAGGCATGGGCATGGCCAGCACGTTAGATTAATCAATTCAACATGGATAGAAGACTGGGAATAGTTAAATGCATCATCAGTTTAATGCCCTTGCATTGCCACAAGAGATCCAAGTCCAGTTCCCGTTGAATTCTGTTGACCCTTATCTAGCACTAATTTAGTGCTGTCCATTAATTGACTAGATTCTTGTACATACACTTGAATAAATCTTCTATGATGCAACCTCATGAATGGTCCAATTCTTTGCATCTGACAAAATACGAAGCAGCTGATTCCAATGGAAGATAATAGCTGAATAGGTTAAATAGAGCAACAGGATAAATAGATATTCCTATTTGTCTGTATAATGGAAAATATTGTTGACATCAATTCTAAAAATATCTACACACCTTAGATTACATTTTATGCAACAAAAAATATTTCAGATCTATTGAATTTCATTGCGTTTTTGAAAAAATTTCATCATGGTGAAGATGCCCTCAGATTGTTTTATTTTACTGTTTACACAGTATCTTATAACAAGGTCATTTCAGAAACAGTAATTAACATATTATTCAATTTTGAGACAAGTTCTTTTTAACTGTAGTCTTTATCAGAAATTGACATTTAGACAAAAAAAGTAAACCACACCATGCTGACAATTTTGACTATTTTTCTAACATTACAAAAATAATAGCCTAATGGGCTTCAGAAATAACGTTCGTAACTAATGAATACATCATTTACTAACATAGATTACACGTAAATAATTGCAATGAAATGCTTATGTACTTTTATTTACTCCATGTATATGTAAGTGTACATTCTGTATTTTTTAAAGCTTTTTTTTTTATAATTGTGTGCATTCTTTTTTTGTATTGAATTAATAAAACCTTGTAAAAGTTCTTTTAAAGCTGTATTACTAGGTATTGCTATAGCCACAGCTTATTGGCTATCTGAATAATCAATTTACTGCTGCTTTAAATGTGTATCTCAGGCTTGTGCGATAGGATTTTAATGAGCTAAAATAGTATCTGGTATCGTACCTTGATATGCAAAAAAAAATAAAAATAGAATGCTAAACTGTCTTAGATGGTAGGGATTGGGTTACCTATGGACATGGTTTGCAAAGAACCACCTGGTTTTTAGAAGAACTCCAGAATAACACTGGAGAAAAATGAAGAGTAAATTCAAATGAATACAGGTAACAGCCTTTATTAATACCTAATAAAGGGAGTGAAGAACCGCTATTTCTTTGTCCCTAACCTTTTTTGCAGAATGTCAACTAATGTCCTAATATGGTAACCTGTTATCTTCTGGGTAAGGAATAGTTATGGGAATTTTTGCAGCACTGATGTAAAGACTATTCTAGTCAAGTGCTGGATAAATGGCTTGAATTTGTTGGAGTAAGATATTTATTTTAGGCGTCATAGGTTATCAGTTTTTATCCCTGTATGCTACCCTTTGTTGGGAGATGGGTGGTCGTAAAAATCATTTAAATAAGCAGAAAGGGATAGAGAAAGAAGATAAGTTGAGAGCGGAATATGCCAAATAGTAAAAAATGTGAACATAAATTACTCAAGACACTCACTAGTTTATTACACTTTAATTCAGGTGAGTTGTAACAAATACCACATTCCAGTCTCATTTGAAAATGGCTCTCGATTTCACATCTCACTGTAGATACTTTTTCAAAGGCTTTGATTTTGAACAGTCAACTGTATCCCATAATTTTTTTCCATTAAACTTTTATACTTGCTTTTATGAAGAGTCTCATCCAATCAACAATTTTGAGAATTCAATCAGGAGAGGCTGACTCTTTCTGAGAAAAAATTCTTATCAATGCAACTTCATTAAATTTTAGGCAGTTCACACATCATTGTGGAACTTTCTTGAGAAGCAATTGTTTCAAACTCAATTATAGTGAAAATAATTATTCCATTTATACAATTATAGATCTGTAAAGTACAAAATAATGCAGGGGTCCCCAACTCACAGTCCGTGACCTGGCACCTTGAGAACTGGGCTGTCCAAGCGGTGGGTGAGTGTGCAAAGCTGCATTTATACAAGCAGTGCGCACGCAAAACCACCCCCTCTTCCCCCCCCCCCAATCCCGACTGCCACCGATCCACTGAGCCAGAACTTTTTGGGACTGCTGGACTCATGCTAAGGGTTTCATTTTCATCATCAAGTTTACTTCACTATGAAAATGAGACAATTAAATATTTATAGAAAAGTATCTATTTATAAGGATGTGTGTGTATACATATTACATATGTGTAACGTGTCTGTCAATCACATTAGTGTGTGTGTGTTTGTGTGAGTAATATATGTATACACACTTATATCTATTTTTCTTTATTGAATGGCATCCATATATTACAAATTGTTGATAGTATGCTCATGACTATTTACTGTTACCTTTTCTGAAGTCCACAATTTCCCTGATTTCAAAAAAGTTCTTCTAAAAAGTAAACATCCACATTAAAATTCATCTGCAAAGCAGTTAATAAGAACATTTCTTCTTCCAATGCTGTAACATGATATAACCTTTTCCATCAGTCATTTCATCAGAACTAACTAGATTTTCCTGCAACCCTCTTCTAAGAATGCATTTTTATGCTGCCCCAAATATTTTCTAGCACTTTTTTCTCGCATTTTCACATTAAACTTCTTAAATACTGTATATGAAATGGCACTTGACTAAAACCTGTGTTTAGACAAAAATCTTCAAACACATCTTAAATTATATATGAAATATAAAGTGATTTAGTTATGTTACTCAGTGTAATGTACAAAAATGGCTGACTTTTATATTGCAACCATATAATAGAACAGTTTTAAATTGTTTATGCAGTATTTCTGAAAACATGTTTGAAATTATTATCTTGCAAATGACATATGATTGGGTCAGCTGAACTAGGCTCAAAGAATAACAAACCTAACAACCATGAACTAATTCACATAATCACTCACTGTGGTATGTAGTTTCCTTCCTTGACATATTGATGACAAAAAAATCAGTTGATGCATTAATTAGATGCCAATACCAGTTTACATATTTGAGAGAAATGTTTTTTTTATTTATCTTCATCTCATGGTTGTTTGCTAGAATGGGAAAGTCAAAACAGCTAGATGAGATTGCTCTGACATAGAAATATTTTCTTTTCTTTTCCTAACATTCATTCAAATTATTTCCTAAATAATAGTTGCAGAAATAGAATAAACTCAGTTCATTATCACTGGTGGAAGGGGAGTGGCACTAAGAAATAGAGTTTGAGACCACTCTGTCCAGAAAGAAGTGCTGGGAATGTGAGGTACTGGCTTGCTATAAGGATTTGATATAAGGGACATATCAAGGCATAAGTGATTCAAACTTCTTTTACATTATGGGTTCTAAACTGAACAAAAGCCACAGTTTTTCAAGTATATTTACTGATTTTTTTTATATTTAAGGGAGCAGTAACAGTACATCTAAGAATTTGTGTTTTATATTAATATTCCCCGGAATTATTTTTATACACCTTTATTTTTTTTTCTTTCAAAAATTAAAGTTACTGTTTTCGCCACAAAAAGTAGTTCTGTTGTCACCTGCACATATTTAATTATGTGTCCAGAGGCATTCAAACTTCTCTCCGTCCCACAAAGGGCTTCTAGTCCATTTTTAAACTTGAATTTTTGAAGATTATCTACCATCTTTTTCCTGTAGGATATTATCTGTTCCTTCTGAAATATCTTCAAGAATATCAAGGGTGGCTTCCCTAAACCAAGAAAAAGGCTTCAATATTTCTGGATAATAACAAGTATACTTGTATGTATATAACTTTTATAATATCGAATATTAGAAGAGAATTTAAAAGCTGTCTCTAAAAAAGCCAATCTTTCCACCTAGAACACAAAATGAAGAGTAGATTCAGCTCCCGGATAACTCTCTTTTTAAATTGTAGATACTAGTAGTACTACATACTTCTGAACAGGTATGCCCAGCCAAGGAATGCGTAACTGTTGACCTCCTGTGTGAGGCCTCCCAGGGATTTTGTTCAGCTTCGCAAGACATTATGGAGACCTCATATGGTCTCTTGAATGATGTCATGGAGGCCTCAGGAAAGCTTTGTGAAAAGCCAGCGGTGGAGGGAAGAAGGCAATGAAAATCAGCTCAGGGTGGCAGAGCCAGTGGAATACAGAGCAGTCAAAAGGATTGAGATAGGTGGAGATGGGGAGTTGAAGTGAAGGTAGTGTGGCAGAGCAGAAGCATGAGGTCCTCAACAGTGCAGTCCTTGCCTAAGCACACAACTACCAGACCTACCATCATTAAGCAGTAGTCATGATATTCTGCCTAACAACCATTTTGTTTAGTGATGGAAATTCTAGAATTAGGAATGTTAAACCATGGTTACCTGAACTGATAAGACCAGTTTTTGGGAACCTGGGCAAGTTTAAGATGTACGGACTTCAACTCCAGGAATTCCCCATGGCTGGCTGGGAATCCTGGGAGTTGAAGTCCAGATATCTTAAACTCAAGCCAAGGTTGAGAAAACCATTAGGCTGTTTATTTCCACTGCCTGCTATATTACTTAATGTTAACCATCAAGAATATTTATTTCACTTCAAAGAGTAACTACTTTATATAAATTTTTAGCTAAGCACAAATAACCATGAATTGGACTGCTTAAAATAACTTGACTTCACCTGCCCTGATGATTATACTATGCTTATTCTATCAAGGACAAACAAATGGCTTGGCATAATTTACTTCGTAAAATATTTTTATCAATTGAATAAATAGACCCGCAGGAGTCAAAATATATGAATTCTTTAACGAAGTCATGCTATACATAGTATCAGATATGCATACCTCACTGCATACAAATATCAAATCACATTATTGTGGAAGTAGAAAAGACCAATGAGTTATGCAGTCTGAAACCCAGATTTTTTATATATAATGGAATAAGTCTGGTTTCTTACCATTTTGCCATCTTTAATGCATGTAACTCACTTTTCGTCCTTTTCTTTCTCTCAATAAAGGTTTCTCCAGAAACTTTTTGCAATCCCATTAGTAATGTTCCCAGAGAGCCACTGCCAAAAAACACCAGAGGAAATAAATGTAACTATGTGGGGCACAACCAAGCAGGAATCATGATAATTAAAGAATCAGACAATAATTTATAGAAATTCTCAGTCATCCAGATCATGGTTGTCCCAAAGATGCTTTTTCAAGCCCAAAGTCCAGTTGCCTCCTGAAAAAGCACCTTTGGGGTGATCAGGCAATAACTACTAGCACTTATATCTCTACATCTTTCCTAAACCTTTTCCTTTTAAAAGGAATTTGGGAAATGAAGCCAAATTGTTTATCCATCATAAAAATAAAATCATCTTTGGATATAATATTTTAAGAAAAGAAATTACTAGCATATGTTTATTATTTAGCATGCAATACAACTGTTATTTGTATGTAATAACATATTAAAAGTTTGGCAGTCTCTAATCATAATAAAAGCTACATCCTTCTGCCCTAATTTTTCAAATGAAAGCATTCAAGAATGTAGGTTTTTAAAATTTCTTCCTCTGCAATGTCAGTGAATCAATAAGATTTCCAAGTAACCATGTCCAAAACTACGTTGTTAAATTGGTATTGTTGTTTTTAGTTATATATAGCAGCTTCTTCACCAGGGGTGTTAAACTCATGACCCGCGGGCCAGATGTGTCACGTGCTGGCCCCACTCCTGCCCGATTTAGCAAAGGGGGAAGTCCCAATATGTCACATGATGCCGCTATGACGACGCGGGTTTCACACCCTGTTCTTCACCAAAGTACAAAATACAGATTTTGCAGTGGTTTTTAATCCAACTATAAACGTTGATTTCCATGTTTAGTTCTTTTACTATGTAAAAGTATTATATTACCTAAGGAATATACTCATGTGGGCCTTCTAAAGGATTACAAGTTCACTAGGAAACAGAAGATCTAAAACGTGCATCTATTTTGAGGGAAAACAGCAATTTTTCTCATTTCTCCATTATGAAAAGAATAATAGAGGCATCAGAAACTTCTGAAGAAATAGACAGTAGCTTACATGGTTGTAATAGTTGAAGTTGTCTGTTTTTCCTAAATCTCTGCTTAAAATATTGAAACTACCCCATTAAATGATGAACTTTCTAAGCTAAAAGGCTTTATCAGAATGAATGGCCAAGGGATCCTCTATTTTAAAAATGAATAATAGAATAACTATATTTGATGCTGTTTATAATATAATTTTCACTGCTATCCATGTTAACACTGGTAGAAAAAAATACTATTTAATGAGATTGTTTAAGTTTTTAAAAAACTCTACAAAAGCCTGCAAAAAAGAAAAATAAGTATGCCAGGATATTTATGAGAAAACAATATTTGCAAAATTCAGCAAATTGTTACATGAGAGTTTAGACGTCATCAAAAGAAATCAACTGAAAAGTAGCAATACAGATAACTGCTATGGTTCAACATGTATGCACTTTTTGAGCCACCTACCCCAAGAGTCCTCCAATAACACTGCCTCCAATCAGACCTCTCAAACCCAACTGCATTCTGAACAAGCTGCCGGTACAAGCTAGAATAGAATACAATCAGACAAAGTCAGTTCAATTTCAGTACTCTAAGGTCCTACGAAGTCATTTCCACTTCCTCCTTATCTTCATCTAGTCTAGTGAAATGTAATGCCAAGGCTGTACACATCATATATTCAATGCCAAATATCTACTTTTTACTAGTCAGGGCAACATCTTCTGCAGCAAACTTAAAAACATGGACAGTATGCACCCATACAAATCTATAGGGCTGTATATATATATCTTTAAAAGTCTCTCTTTCTCTCTCTCTCTGTGTGTGTGTGTGAGTTCTGTGTGTGTGTCTATAGTTGGATGTGTATGGAAGAAATATTAGAATGTGGGCGTATGCATATGGATGTCCTATTTCAACATCTAATTCAACAGGGTAGCCATTACTTTAAAAATGTAGAACATAGCTTTTCTACCAAGGTTCTTTTAAAAATCTATACAAGATTTATTTAGTAAAAATGTTTATACTGTTTCCAAGTTTTACTTTGCTAATATTACTTCCCATATTACAACTACTAACTGTAAAAAGTTGTCTCCAACAGCACATTCAAATGAAACGTCTAGCAGACCTCATTTCGGTGAAAAGGAAAATAGCACTTCCCTCCAGACGTATATATGAAGCAGCAGATTCCAGGATCAATGTGATGCTTCATTCTGTGTTAGGAAAATTCTGGGCTCAATAGGTACATAGCGGAAATAATAAACAAACCTAAATTTCAACTCAGTTTATTACTGTAATTGGGGATTAGAGAAGGTAATGTTAGACTTTCTTCTTCAGAAACTTGAAAAAAATATGAAAAAAAGAACCAAGGAAAGCTGTAATATCTCATTATATCTTCTGCTATAGTGTATATGTGCCTGTGTGGTGAGAGCAACAGCAGCATGGAGGACTTATGGTTTTTCAGCTTCCAGTATCCTTGAACATTGAAACTGAAAGTTGTAGTGAGTAATTTCAAAAGTTTAAAGGTGTTGTCAGTAATATCTATAAGCAATGTTCAATTTACAAAGCAGTAAGTAAAAAAGTAAGAAAACACCATTTCAGCATGTAAATTATTAGGCTTCCACGACTCAAGCTGAAATAAAAATTATGGAGAAGGCTACAATAAAATATTAGGTTTGTCATATTAGTCACCAGGATTCTTTTAGGGAACTTCAGTAGAAATTCAGCAGAGCCTTTCTATATCAAAGGGTCGTTCCAGTTTCCAAACAGCCAGTTTATATTCACAGAACATTTAGATCAAGATCTATGGTATATATATATTTGAGTATTTGAATAACTCAAAATATAACACAGATCAAAAATTATGTTAATTTTCTCTAATCAATAATCTTACCTCCAGCAATAGTATAGTGACCAAGGGTACTTTTACCACGATATACAGACAAACAAGTATTCACTGTGCTGCAAGAAGGAGAGAAATAATAAGCAAGAAAGAACAAGAACTTTAGGAAGGAATTCTGAAAAGTCAAAACATTGGCTTGTTATTTTTCTGGCTAGATATTTTTGTAATTTGCTAATAAAATACATATTGTCTTAAATGGGATGAGATAATTATATACCGTGAAATATTTTACATTAGAGTTCAGTTGTCAATAAAAAATCTATTTCTCAGTGAACATATATATGGCTTGAAGCATAATTCACAAAATATAATAACTCTATTTTTCATCTTCACGAATATCTACCCAGAGGGAAGTTCATATATAATGAAAACTTATTTGCGATAATGAATGTGAAGTTCTACTTTATGGATATGGAGTAATTTAGCAAAATGAGATAATATTAAATTTTAATAATGATAGTTTTGTTGTTTAATAATGCATTCATTTCTATTTCCAAAAAGAAACATTGGACTTTTGATCCTGTTTCAAAGAAATATTAGGTAGAAAAAAGGTTATATATTAACAAATCCTATACAAACCCAGATTTCCAATATTGTCAATCCCCCCTGAATCCAATCTTGAAGATTCTTTGCCAGCTTGAACATCTCCCCTCCCCCCCCTCATTCTTTTGTGTGTATATGCAGGCATGATATTCTGCTCTGAAAAAAAAATCGGGGCCAGCCAAAAGAGACCCCCGCCGCGTGCCCGGGGAGCGCCCGCTGCTTTCCCTCGCCAGGGCCGGGCGGTGGCGTGTTGCACGGAGGCTGGTCTGTGGCTGGCCCAGCTCCCTTTTCCTGCCGCTCAGCGGCCTCCGCTCGTACCGCCCGGGCTCCGCTCAGGTATCCGGCTGGGGCTGCCAGGAGTTGCTACCACTGGCGCAGCTCCATGCGGCTCCAGTCCCGCGTTGCCTCGGGAAGGGAAAGGCAAAACCAGGAGCCGCTGCTGCCGTTGCAAAGCGCCGCCGCGGCTCTTCCTTTTTGCCTTTCCCTTCCTGAGGCAACGCGGGACTGGAGCCGCGCCAGCAACTCCTGACTCGGGGCCTCCGAGGGGAGGGGAAGGAGGAGAAGAAGGGGTGGGGGGAAAGGGGGGGGATTCCCAAAAAAATCGGAATTCCGATTTTAATCGGAAGAATATCATGCCTGTCTTGATTTCTACAATGTTGTTTTATTTTTTGGAAGGGAACATCTAGTCTATTACAATTCTTCTTGAAGTAGAAGACATAATCAAGCCCTGACTTTTACTTAGATCAAGCATACTGGTAGTTCTATTTTAATTGTATTTTTTTCAATAGCGAATTTGAGAATAGAAATACGCTACTGAGGAAATAAAAGAGAATTAGGAATGCAGAAAATGCACTGCAGAAATGCAGTAGAAGGGGCACAGTAACCATTTTGCATCTAATATTCATACATTACAATATTATCCTAGAATTGTAGGTTATTGTTGAATTGTAGAATCATGTATCATGAAGACAGCACCCTTGCTCATCTCCCACAGGTAACAAGAAATACACTTACTTGAATATTGCCACAAAAGCAGCAACTCTCCAGCTCCACCGCCAACCATATCGGATAAATCCCCTGATTGCTGAACGTTGCATAGATTGCTTTAGAGAAAGTAAGCAAAATTGTATGATGTTAAGGCATTCTATATCCATTACTAAAGTGAACTCAAAGTGTGATAATAGAAACCACACAGAAGCCCCATAAATTCTTTACACAATTCTGTTTTGTAAAAGTAATGTATACCTATCCAAACTTCCATTAATGATTAAATCTGATCACTGAAACAGATTATCTGTTGACTGCGAACTAAATTTAATACCATAAACTAGGATGCAAAAAACGTATACATTAATATATTTATTTATTAATATTTAATATATTAAAAGAATGCATTCTTTTAGTATGTGATTTGCAATATTACATTCAAAAATGCTGTCAGGGAAAATATATTATATAAAATGATGCTTGATTTCTGCTTTTTTTTTTGTTTCTCATGTACAAGGCGGCAAGCCAACAAAAAAAAAAGTAGAGGATTACACTTAAATGCGTGTTCTATTTTTGTCAAATATATCTGTCCATACCACAGCATCCAGCCGATTATGATAGAGTTCTCCTTCACATTGCTCAATGTACTGTTTTTTGGCATTTAAATATCCAGGTATACCGCCATAGACGAAGCCAACAAGACTCCCCGTAAACGCTGCTTTAACTATATGCAGAGATTCTTCTGGGTATTCCTTTTGGTCACTGCAAAAGAAAATATGTTTCAGGAAACGTATTCAGAAACTGTTTTATGAAATTATCCATGTCCTTTGGAATAATAATTGCTGGGATATGCAAGGCAGGGCAAGGCTGGGTTTGATTTCGAAAAAAGCATTTCATTCTTGAATTATATCCCGCCACCCATTGGAGCTCCAAGCTAAGGCTCTTCTTGGCTATTCACTCACTTCCGCCGAAAGAGCTCTCGAATTCGTTCCCAGCCCGAGTTCGGAGGCTGCAGCCAAGGTGGCGAACCCTCCAGCGCTCCGAGCGGCTCAGAGTCCGGAGCGGCGTTTTCTTCACCCAACCCTGTCAGCGGACATGCTGTCCTCTCGCCCGGCCGCTCCATATTTGCCGGCACCTGGCCGGGAAGTCTTCGCGAGAGTTTCCCTTCTTAGCATTAACGCCTCGAAAAGAAAAGTGCGCCACTCTGTCGCCTTGGAGGAGGTAGCGCACCCTCTTCGTACCCCATAGGCACGAAGTCTCCTGAAGCATATAGGAGACACGAAGCCTGAAAAAGAAGCAGCGCTGAAAAGCGGTCCGTATTTTTCTTTTTTATCTTTAGAAATAGCACTGACTCTTTAAATAAAAATGGATAAAAATAAAACAACGATGAAAGACCTTCCTTCCTCCTTTCTCTCTCCTGCCTCCCCTCCCCCCTTTCTGTCTGCCTGCCGGTTAGAAATACGTCATTCTTTTATCCTCAGTGCCATCTCCTGTATTCTTTTTAATCAGGAAAAAGCAAAACAAAGTACGCTTTATTCTTCCTTTCCTCGCCAGCCAGGTCTTGCTTCTTAGCCTTTTAAACTTTTTCTGTCCAACACCTCGAAACTCCTTCCTTGCATCCGTGGTTTCCGCTATTTTATTCCCGCCATTCAACTTTCTCTTGAGATCTACTGGTTAAATTTGTGTTACTGGTTTGACGCTGCATTTCCCCCCTCCACATCTTATCTCTGAGACGGGAATCCAGAAGGCCCTTCAAAAAGTTCTCTGCTTCAACAAGACTCGGTGGACAAAGATCTTTTGTTGGACAGTATGTGAGAATTGTATTGGAAAAGTTTAAAACATGTTTTGCTTCTTAATCCCACTCCAATGTAGGTGGACAGCATGCACTTTTGATCTGCAGGAAGTTAGCACTCACCCCTCTCCTAGAAAATTGAAATAGCCTAGGAAATATTAAAAAGGCAGAATATTTCCTCTAAAAAAGAGTAGAAACTCAGAAGCAGAAACTCACCTCAGAAGCAGAAACTCACCCCCCATCTTTGTTAATGGGTGGGCCATTAAGGCCTGGGCCAGAATACTTTACATAACAAAGATCTGCAGGTACAGCTATAGCAATTGCCAAAAGCCCTTTTAAGGTCATAATCAGCCAGCAAGACTCAACTAAGCCTGGGACTCAGGACAGCATACAGAGTTGCCCCTGCATGGCCACATGGGGGTCTGAAAACCAATTAGAATACAAGCTCCAATTCAAATCCCAACAGAGGGTATAAAACCCAGGCACTCACAGCACCTTTCTTGATCTCTTCCTTCACCTTGAAGCATGTGATCATCCTTTCTTTTCACTCTGAAGCTCCAGGCCTTTCTTTTCACTCTGAAGCTCCAGGCCATGTGGTCCTGCTGTCCCCTATTAAACCTTCCAAACAGCCTCCATGTTTCCAGTGTCTTTTTCCCCACTTGGAACTGAACCCAGAAGGATATTTCTTCCAACAGATCAGTAGTGCATCCTTCAAAAGGTGTTGCATCTATGGTTGCAGGGCTGTTACTTAGTTTGGTAATGAAACATCTGCAAGGAAACAACCAAGATCACAGAGCATCAAGATCCCCACAGTTCAACCCTGAGCCAGGGAACCAATAGCTCATCACTCTGAGAAGGTTGTCCTATTTTAAATTATTAAAATTTATCCTAAATATGGTAGTGGTTGATTAATGCAGGAAATGTAACACAGGAACCCAGAACTCATACAAGTTCAAAACTATTCAGTTCTTTTGATTAATATAGTTTCAATCATTAGCATAGTAATAGCCTGAAGCACCCTCTATATAGATTATGAAAGCTGGAAAAGATGTTCACCTGTGTGCAAACCACCGATTCAGCCTGAAATTCCTAGTGTTTGAATCCCAATAAATAGTTCTTTAAATCAGTGGCCCCCAACCTTTTTTGAACCAGGGACCGGTTTTACGATTATTTATTCTTCCACGGACCGGTACCTTCTACTACTAGTCCCTAAAGCAGCGTGGAGCTGCTTTAGCCGGGCTTATCTCTCCCTTCTCAGTCTCTCTCACCTTCCTCAGTGACCTATTGCCCTTCTTCTTTCCAGCCTCGGGCAAAAAAAAAAAAAAAAGACTTGGCACAGCCAACTAGAAAGCACGCCCAAATTCCTCGCAGCTTCCTGCCTCCGCCTGCAAGGAAGTGGGCGGCGGGGGGGGGGGGGAGGGGGGCGAGCGTGGGCCGGGAAGCGCGACTGGTCAGGGAATGACCTTCCCCGGGAAAGTCGGAGGCGCAGCCGCCGCCGCAGCTGCTGCTGCTTCTTTGCGCTCGGGCGACGGATGCCATGGCGCTCCTTCAGCGCCTGTGCTCAATCTGTTCCTCCGGGTCGTGGTGCAGCAGCAACAGCAACAGCAACAGCTTTATCTGCGCGCGTGCGTGTGCGTGGTTGACGGAGAAGGAGAGAAAAAGGGAGACTAGCGCTGGGCATACCGTAGCGCTCTTTTCTCCCTCTCTCCCCCTCGCGGCGCCCAAGCTTTGCGGCCCAGTAAAAAATGGTCCACGGACCGGTACCAGTCCAGGGACCGGTGGTTGGGGACCCCTGCTTTAAATGACATTTTAGATTTATTGTATTGTGTAGATTTAAAAGGGACTCTGTTTTGGTTTTTAACCCAGATCTGTTTTGTTATAAAATTTGACTAAAGGGATCCAAGATGACATATGTATGAAATCTACCTAATAAGAATGTGAAACTTAAGGAGCTAAAGCAATCAGAAAACAGAAACCCATAGTGAAATAGATTCTTTAATTTGAATTAATCTTTTGGACATTCATGATGTTGCAATCATTAAGAAAATAATATGGATAACAGAGAACATTGAAGACTTAAGAGTTCAAGCCACTGTCCCCATTTCAGAAAAAAAAAATAAAAACTGTACTTTTGCAAAAGATGCTGTTTTTTCATCTGGGATTACAAATAAAGCATCCCTATGACTAATATACTGCTCACTAATTATTAATTAAAGCAGTAATTGATTAAACAGTATGTATG